AAGGAGCGGGCTAGAAGCACAACCTTTGTCTTAGAGGAGACGCGCGAGATTCTCATTGATATCTATTTGAGGTAGGCGGTCAATGGCCTCATCGTTTATAACGGATGGTCTGTTCAGAACCGCCTTCAAAGTGTTCAACCCATCTATCTAGAACCTGCTTCCGGTTTACGAGGAGCCGGCTGCCATCTGAACTCAACAGTGGGAGCAAGGTATCAATAAGATAAAGGCGCCTGGTTTATTTGTGCTGTATCCCTAAGACAAAGGTTAAAAGAACACAAATTCCAAATTTGGAAAAAGACAGGTTAGATAAACTCCAGTCAAAATAGTTATTTTTCTCACAAAATGATTAGCTTACACAAAGAGATATCATTGGCAGCAGAAGAGCACAGCACATTATGGGAGTTTAAGAGATGAATTAATGAATTCTTGAAAAATAAAATGTAGGTTTGAAATTTTCATTTCTACTTTTCTTTCTTCAGGAGTGGAAATACAAGGACAGCCTTGAAGGACCAAATGATTCCTTGCTGTCCATATGGAAAATTCCAAGCCTAGATCAAACAGTGTCAATGTTGTTGTTATGCAAAGAAATGGATACAAATGTGACCAAATATTGTAGTATCAATACAGTTTGATACATATTTCATGTTGCTTAACTTTACTATAATTCACACAGTTTATTGCTGCTCCATGTAATGTTTCCTTTGATTGACAACATGGTTTCACCTTCTGACAACTTGGTAATGTCGTGATAGCTAAGCTACAGCATAATACCAGAAATTAGAACTCCACTGATTTTAGAGAATCATTGATACAAGTGTACATGTTTTGGAAGAATCATAAAACCTACAGCAATGTCACAGTATACAGGTGTATAAAAAATATATGTGGAACAGATTTATGAAAAAAAAAAAACATTTGTTTATCACATGACATCATTCAAAACTGTAAGTTTGATGCCAAAACTTATTCATTCACTCATCAATTACTAGGACTGTTACAACTACTCATTGTTAACATGTGAATAAAAAATCATATTCAACATTGCATAATGTATGACAGTGAAGATATGTTTGTTCTGCTGTCTATCGTGTCTTACCGTATGTGGAATCTGTTGTGAAATGAATGGAGGGCTTATTATAGATTTGGTGTAACAACTTGCTCTGCTACTTTTGTAGTCTTAAGGCGAAATCAAACTTATTTATTTTCAAGGTCACCTTGTAGTGCCACCTATGACTACTGTTTTCTCATAAATGTGTTCTGCATATATTTTTATATCAACTGGCAAAACTGCTTATGCCCAAACTTATTTTTTATCAGCTCTGTATATCATTTACCTACCTCAAGTAAAACCTGTGTTCTGCATATGTTTTTATATCAACTGGCAAAACTTACTTATGCCCAAACTTATTTGTTATTAGCTCTGTATATCATTTACCTACCTCGAGTAAAACATGATGGGCTTTCTTTAAAAATTCTTCATCATTTTCATGATTAGGATTCACTGATCTTGGAAGATCATTCAAGCACCCCAGCTGTGAGAGAAGGAGAAAAAAAAAAGAGGCAGAGTATGACCAAACTTTTATAATCTCTAATGGTACATTTTATTTTCTAGACTTATACATACTCAAAACTTTATGTATTCTTACCAACTTTAACCATACTCAATGTTTTTTTAAAGATGCTGCTTTGCTAGTAATATCAACACATAGATTGAACCATAATTTAAAGGACATTGTACTATTGATGCCCTTTTGATCTTCAACCAGTCCACTTACAGAATTGGAGTTCTTTAATGCACTTAGTAACAAATGATATTTCCTGATAATGTTTCAGAATTTACTTTCAAATTTGTATTTCTTATTAAATATTTAATAAATAAATCCAAAAAATACAATAATAAATTATGATAAAGTCAAGCACCAACTTTTTATTGGTAGTTTCTTTACTGAGGAAATTAACATAACGTTACAAGGAATAGGTATAATTTTAATAGAAGGCTTTTTTTCTTCTTTTTTCAAATGTTTTTCAATTATTATTGCACTATTTAGTATTTCTGAACAGCCACAACAATAAATGATTCAAGATATGGATGGTCACATTCTACAAGTCATTGAATCACTACACCCTGGACACTTTCCAAGTCAATGCTTTCATCTTCACACATTCCATTAATTCCTGCTAAGACCTTCCTTATTTTCACTAGTCCCAGTACTGATGGTTCTAGAAGTCACAGCTGCCATTTTTCACTCTTCATTCTCATCCATGCTATTTCCTTTTCTCAGTTGAAACCATAATATTGGAGGTAGAAATTAAGAGTGCATATAAACATTTAATTGTTTGGTAAATAGATAATTGTTATTTTTACACTACTATATTAGGTGAAAAACTAAACCCTATTGACATCTTTTACTAACTGTAAACCCCCACAAATTCTTAGTTATGTTTTCCTGATGTGTACAGTGGGGGTCAAAGTGTGCATTCATGACTTTTTAGTTATTTAAAATTTATTAAACAACCTTATTATCAATGTGCATCAATAAACATGTAATCAAAATGTAGTTTATAATTCAGGTTTTAATATCAAGTTTTAATATCTTAATTTCAAAAGCAAATATTTAAATAAATTCTCAATCTTCACTTTTTTGTATCACATGATGTTTCTTTTCCCCAAATTGCCCATTTTAGATTTTTTTTGTACTATATGATCTAATAAGTTTGGGACAAATTACACACTTATACAATAAATATAGCTAACCCATAATGTAAAATTATAGCCTTCGTGCTTTAGTAAGATATACATAAGAAAGCCAAAGTCATGTCCCTTCTATCACATCCCATCTTTCAAAAAATGTCAATAATACTCTCAGATGTGTGCTAATGAATTATTTCTAACCAATAGAAACATAAGATTCTACTTTACTAAATCCTTTTAGATGTTAGTTAGTTCATATGCCAGGTTTGGAAATATTTGGCCTCAGTTTTATTGTTTGCCTTTGCAATGTTTGTCATGACCAGCTAATGGAATTTTTTAAACCGTATGTAGTTTAGTTAGTAAGTCAGTTAAACTATAGTAGTTTTAGGAAATTCAATTTTTTGTACAGGATAATATGTTGTAAGTTACATATTTGAAATAAAAGATATTTATATTGTGAATTACCAACATCATTACAAAAAATTAGGCTTCCTGTGCTTCATCTTACTGACAACAAAAAGACAAGTCCAGATGTAAGTATTTAATTTTTTATATATATTTTTTAAATAAAAGTAACTCAAATGTAAAAATTACAAACTTATTAGGTTAGATAAAAAAAAATTACTAGTGATTCTTTAACACAAAATTCACTCCTCATGAGATGTGATTGTAATATGATCCTGGTTTGCTTGCGATTGATTGCTTGTTTACACAAAGATGTCCCACTGTGATAAATGGCTTTCAGTTTACTCTCAGATCTAAGTGCAAATTTAAAGCAATAATATTAAATGAACCCAGATATGAAAAGACTATTAGCTCTGACTTTAAGAATAAATAGCTTTTCATTGTCTGTTACAACATGCAGTCATTCTAGAAACAAATAAAAGGTAATTTAAATTTATTCATCTTTACAACTTTTCATTTTACCCTATTCTGCTATTTTACAACAGTCAATGTTATGACAAAGAAAATAACAGACAAAATATAAAATTTTGCTGAAAAACAAAACAAAAACCTTTCAACATTCATTTAAGAAATATGAAATCTGTGAGATGGGAAAAAAGTATTTTTATTCTTACCATGACAATCACCTCACACTTAGACTAGTCAAGAGTCCAAGTCTGATTGACTCTTTAAATGCATAGACAAGTCTTCACTATAAATACTTTATTAAAAAATTTGATTTATTCTGTACAGCAGAGTTGTAATGTTTACAAAAAGCTTACTATATTTTGTGAATAAACACTTAGTAGAGTTGGAATTACAGGAAACATTGCTATGTATAACTTAACAGAAACAGGGATTGGTGCAAAGCACCAATGTCATTCATATGGGGTTAAAAGGTAAGGGATAGTAGCTGAATTCAATAGAAATTTCCTGCTCTATATTCATCCAAATCAAACAAAATTAACACTGGATCCACACTGAAGATACACTCAGATACTTTTATGATCACATATCCACGGTTTCAGTATTCTCAACATCCTCCGAATTAACTTCTGTACTTTAAGCCCAATAATTGAATAAGGTGAAAAGTCCCAGCAGCAGAATTACTTTATTATGGAGCATCATTAGAAGCTATGTTTTGGAAGATAAGGATGTCCTGAAACAGAATTGGTTTTTAATCTTCTGGTTTTGTGATAGCATGAAAGATTGGTTGTAGCAGACCCAGCACTCCATTCACCTGTGGACAGAAAACATCATCCAGTGCATTTTTGCAGATGTTGGTGTGGGTGATGACACCTATGTATGCATCTACCAAAGCTCTTACAAATACTTCTTATTTTAACTGTATTTTCAAGACACTTAGTAACTGATCCTCAATGAGTGTCTATGAGGTAAAGAAAAGCAGTTTCTCCTCCCTTTTTCTTAACTTTATTACGTTTGAATACTTGTTGGAAAAATTCCTCAAGACTAAATTTTATTATAATCTGCTTGATATTTTTTGTTCATGTCTGTCAATTAAACTGCTATTGAAACGTTTCCTCAACAAGACTTTGCATCTACTACACTCCTCACCCAAGACAGAATTTGAAGAATGGAACCATGAAGAAAATAAAAAAACCTTCTTCCAAAATTCATTCTAAGGGAAACTAAGTGGTTTGTAACTCTTGCAATGTGCCTTTCCCTTCTGTTTCTGGTGTGACATAACATAAAAAGTTCACACTGCACTTAGCAGCTGGACTCATTGCAGTCTATCCTCAACCCTTAGCAATATGGTTTTCTTGAATAATCTTCTATGTAGCACTTTACCAAAAGCTTTTTGAAGATCTAAGTACATCAAGTCCATACCCTTTCCATAAAGAATAACATTTAACATCCTCATAAAAAAAACAAGATAGATAACACATTAGTAGAGCAATATTTCCCTCATGAATCCATGTTGATTTTAATTTATAATATCACCTTTAATGAAATGATTTTGTAAAGTTATTTTCAACAGACTTTAGAATGCTTACCACTACAAGAGTAAAATTAATTGGCCTAAAATTTTCAGGGCAACTCTTAAAAACAGGAGTAATTATTATCAAGTTTAACTCTTGTTCACTCTCTACTGACTTATCAAAAATAAGTGGGAGAGGGCTTGCTTGTCTGATCTTTATTCTTTAAATCTCTGGGGAAATCACCTTGTTTTCCCCTGATGCTTTATCTATTTTTAATCTCTCAAACTTTCTACTTAAGCACAAGGGATTAATACCTAAATAATTCAGGTCAGCTGTTTCTCATAACCTAGCTTGGATTTTTGTATTTAAAAAAATCAAATCCATAGCTTTTCTACAGTTCTATAAACATTTTAACCTATCTATCAATTTAACCTTATACCATTATTCCTGAATTTTCTTCTTGTATCTTTAGTAAACCAATTAGGTTTGATCTTTTATCCTTATTCTCTTTTTTAGGAACTTACCTATTTTTAATGTAAAGCAATTTATTTTTTTAAATTTCTCAAATCTGTCCCTCATCACCTTTCAACTCATTATCCCAATTCATTAACAGCAAATCTTCTCATGGCCTAAAAACTGGCTTTCTTAAAATTAGAAAACAATTTTTTTTATCTCAACATCAAACTTTATGATGCAATGATCACTCTTCGCTAAATGTTCCTCCACTTCAACTCTACCAAACATTTTCTTGTAATTGGTTAGCAATAAATCCAACATGTCATCACCTCTATCTGGCTCCCCGATCAATTGTTATAAAAAATTATCCTGAATCATTTTTGATGTTATTAATAGGAAAACTAGTGTGGTGGTTATTACAAAAAAAACTTTTATTGTTTAACTTAAAAGCTTTTACTTTTCTCTTTAATTTTGTTGAATACTTGACATGGTTTCACTAATGGAAAATCTCGCCTTACTAATCTTTTGACATTTTTTGAAAAGGTTTACTGCTTAGGTTGATGAGGGTAAGGGTATAGATTTGGTGTATCTGATCTGTCAGAAAACATCTGATAAAATGCTACATAAAAGGCATGTTAAAAAAAATAGCTCCAGGTGTGTGGGGGATAAGTTGGCTCATTGGACTGAAAAACAGCTGGAAGAAAGAAAGCATCTTTTGTTTTATATAAATGGAGTTTAGTCATGTTGGATTAATGTCACAAGTTTTTGGTTTATATTATGATACAGCTAAAGGAATGGTCAATAAATTGTTTAAATTTGCTGATGATATTAAGGTTTTGGGTGTTGCTGGCTGTGAGGATACTGCTGCTTTACAAAAGTATCTAGGTAATTTTATGTGTTGGGCAGATAACTGTCAGATGGATTTTAATTATAATAAATGCAAGGTAATTCATAATTTATAAGTATAATGTTGATGTGAATAATTTTAACAGTAATGGAAAAAAAGGACATTAGTATTTTGGTTGATCGGTTTCTTAAGCCATCCAAACAGTGTACCGTTGCGGGTAGATTTTGGGTTGCATTTACAGAAATATTGAACATGAGATTAAAGAGGTTATCATTTCATCACTGGTTATGCCCCATCTAGAGTATTGTGTTCAGTCTTGAGCTCCTTATCAAAAGAAGGACATTGAATTGTTGTACAGGATTCAAAAGAATGCTACTACTATTAGTCTACTAGAATTATACCTGGAATAGAGTGGTTGTCAGTGAGAATATGTTAAGATCTTTAAAATTGTTTTCCCTTGAAAGAAGTTATAGGGTACCTGACTGAGATGCTCAAGATTATTAAGTGAATTTATAGTATAAATGAATCTTTTTTTTCATATCACTATACCACTACATGAACACATTTTTAGGGTACTTAAATTTCATAATAACTTGTAATCAAAGCATCCTACTTACACTGATCAGAACTAACAATTAACCCAGCAATGAATATATCTAATTTGATATAATTTGCTTACTATGAGTATGCAAAGTGATAAAGCAGAAATTTATAATAATTACAATGAACTGATATATCAGTTAGATACCCCTCATTGTTAACAATATTTTTGGCTATCATCTTAATATCTTACAAGGTTTAGCCAGTTTAAGGACTTAGGTTAGTCCCAAATCAAAATACTAAGCTAACCATGAAACATGTTTACCACAGTTGATACATAACATTCCAAGTATTTGATATTTAGCTCAAAAAAAGTTCTCAACTAGTCATATTACCAGATTTAACAATATCAAATAAAAGTAAATTGTGTTTCATGTTAAATATATATCATAAGTCACCTATAGTTCTGTAATGATCCATAGAAAATAAATCCAACCTTTATAATTTATCTTCTCATACAAATCATTAGTGTATTGTGTACAGTTTTGGTGTCACGTCTTATACAAAAAGGTTCATATGTGGGCTGCCACGTCCTTAGGATAGAAGGGTTATCTTTTATGGATAGGTTAAGATCACCTAACTTTTTTGCTCTTGAGGTGATATTATTGATATTTACAAGATTGACCAGGGAATAAATGGATTAATGACCTCTAATTTTTTGTGTTATATCCTAAAAACAACAGAACAAGAAAACATAAGTTTTAAGATTTGGAAAAGAAGGTTACGTTTTTCTGACAGGACACTTAACTTTTGGAATGAGTTGTCTTTGGTAGTAGTGAAGGCTGTCACATTATATTAGTTTAAAAAGGGAATCACTGATTTCCTGAAAAAAAAGTAGTTAGACTTGAACTACTTAGTAATAATTATATAAATAATCATTATCATAACCTTATCCAACAATCATAAGAGAACATGCCTGATGTATGTTCAATAATGAAACTGTTTGAAAAATAAACACAGAAATAGTGTGATACTCTAAGGTGTATAGTTTTTCCATTGCATTTATTATTCCAATTGTTAAATCACAACATAACTGTTATGAGACTTATTCAACCCACACTTGTAAAAAAATATTTTCTGTACTTACACTTTCCGCAGCCTGACAGAGAGCATCCCAGTCAAGTTTAGGTATCATTCGAGTTACAAACTCGGGGTTAAAATCTACTGCAACCTCCTTCACTTCTGTAGCCTTTGGTGGATGAAAAAATAAAACTGAAAATATTATATGAAGTGTTTGCATTTTAATTAATTCTGAATAAACATTGTATTCAATAATTTCCAATACAATTTTTAGTTTTACTCTACTAAGTTGAGGAGGAAAACAAAACAAGTGAATCAACATAAAAATGTTGTCTTCTTATTACTCATCATAAATCAATGTGAAATGTACATGTAAAAATATGTCTTGGCTCACTTTAGGTGTGACATTTAGGAAAAATCCTAACTCCTAAAATCACTTCTAAATGGAAATTCTAGAGAAACAGTCACTCAAGTCAATCATACTCATTAGTTGTGTTGGTTAAATGTTAACTCCTAAAATCACTTATGAATGGAAATTCTACAGAAAACAATCATTCAAGTCATTCATACTCATTAGTTGTGTTTGTTAAATGTTAACTCCTAAATCGCTTCTAAATGGAAATTCTAGAGAAACAATCACTCAAGTCAATCATACTCATTAGTTGCGTTTGTTAAATGTTAACTCCTAAAATCTTTTAATAAAATGTGAACTTGCTTATCATAAATTGTTCCAATAAAATGCATTTTCTGAGTACTTAACAAATTTGTATAAATTAAAGTAAAATCTAAACAGTATTGCATGCTCTTTACACCATCAACAAATTTGGTTAATTTACTACATAAAAATATAATCAAATAATGAGTGTTTATATACACATAAGAAATAATGATACATAAGACAGACAATAAATACCCTTGTAATATTCTGCAAAAAATGTATATCCACTGCTTTCTACCACAAAACCTATTTTTTTTGCGTTTCTATTATTAATGCTTCTAGTTCTGTATCTTACTAAGTTACTGCAATAATGGTTATATTATCATATAGCAATGAGTTATAACACAAATTTATAGTTAACCTTTCGTTATAAATTTCTTTTAAAATACAAACACAATTTAGTTACATAACATGATCAAGTTCATGTGAAACTCAAATTCGACCAGCGTAATCCTTTAGCCTAGGGTTTACTGCTTTAGAAATTAGACTACCGATGCTAATTCAGTAATTGTGACTAACAGCAATACAAACTTTAGTGCGTAATTTTATTAATATCTAATACTAGCTTTGGATCAGAGGAAGTTACTTATTTAGAACAAAACTAAAAAATCAACGTAACGCTAACAGGCTACTTTTTTTAAAAATTTTCATGGACAACGTACAATTCCAAGTTCCAACTTACATTTACAATGTTACATTACATTTTTAGTTTTACAATCCACGTTACAACCCGTACTTACACAAATTTTAAGAGGAAATCCAACATTTACTCCTTTCAGAGATTTTGATGTCAGCATATTATGAGTTATCAATTTCATTATTCGCTATTAAAAATATTGCAATTATTGTTTCCAAAGAAACGATATAAATTATAAGATTGGCAAACTTAATACCAAACTCTCTTACTTCCAACTCAATCGCGTTCTAATAGATCACCGTCAAATTTAAGAGAGGGCGCTACCATAAAACATACAAATTTTGAGAAACGTGTAGAATTTTTGTTTATGCAATGTTGCACAGTGGGCTATCTTTGCTGTGCTCATCAGAAGGGTTGAATGTCTAATTTTACAGCTATAAGCATCAAGCTTACCGAGGGGTCCAGAGGAGGATAAGAACAAACTAAATGATAGAATGTCAAATAAACGATATATATATATATATATGTATTAAAAACATACCGTATTTCTCGGTGTATACGACGCACTTTTTTACCCCAAAATTTGATGTCAAAATCTGCTTGCGTCATATACACCGAAGGTATGAATAATATATATGTATATATACGATATTGTTACGTCTCCGTTTGTTAATTAATTTTCCGTAACTTCGTTCCGACGAAACTTTAGCGACACAAGTCCTTACTTAATAAAACTCGTTTATTCTTTCCGAATATAACTTTATAATGCACTTAATTTCAACATTCGCGCTAAAACAAACGCTATAACGAACGTTAACTTCAACAATACTCTGACTGCAGATCAATTACTCACTGTCTGCACACACATTATTGTCATGTCACGCCGTGACCATCTTATATATACCAGACCACCCCCAATCTAGTAAATGCTAGAGCACTCCCGAAGGAACGGGATAGTTCTAGAAAGCAGGTGGCGTGACAATAGTCACGTGATCTCGCTGACGCAACAATAGGATCAAAATTTATGTTTATTACAACTTCCAGCCACCAAAATAATGAACATTTCAGTTAAGGCGTCAATTCTTGTGATACTTTAACATGAAAATAATTATTACTCTTAACTTTGTTTAAAAACTGGAGTTTATTATGAGTCATTTCTTTAAACGTAAATAAAATCACGACCCATATCTACAGAATGTAACTTTATTAGCTCAATGTTTCGTTATTTATAAGGGTTGAAATGTATGTTCAGACATTGTTTTATGTGTGTATTGATATAATGAAATGAGAAAAAATTAATACAAATATGAAGAAATATTTTAGATATATAAAGTATTCTATTCTAAATCCAACGATGTTAATAGTTTACTTATTGGTTTACACATGCTATATATTTAGCACTGTTGGTTTGATTTGTCTAAACAATATATTTTCAAGAATGTGTGATCTTAATTATATATAATATGAACTTTCTAAACACGTGTATCAACGTTCAAATTTACGAATGACATTGTTCCAATTTAGATTTAACTGAATTAGTGAGCTTGTAGGACATCGATAGCTCCTGACGAAGCTGTAATAGCGAAACATTGAGCTAATAAAGTTACATTCTGGAGATATATGTCGTAATCCCCGCATTTACTAGGTTTTTGTGACGTCAAATTTAGAACTTTCTAGGCCTACTTCACACAAACTTACTGCATCTTAACGTTACGTGCATTATAGCTAACATTCGAATTAAAACATTTAAAATATATCTTATGACAATATTTAAATCTTAGAATTATGTATCCTATTTTCATTACTGGTTTAAAACCTTTAAAATGTTTTTAAATTGTTGAAATTATTCTTTATAACCTTTTTTTTTTCTTCAATACAAAATGGCCGTTTCTGGTTCAACCTTGTGCGTTTTGCTAAAACAAAAATCTCTTGTCTTGAAAGTTATATGAATACTAGGCCAGAAATTAAAATATGAATAAAAACAATGAAGCCAGCTGTAAAGCGTAGGACAGAGTCAGAACAAATGGTTTGCCTTATATACTATTTTAGTCTAATAACAATCAAGATGGGAAACAGATGGTTTTGTTGGGGCAACCAAAGTGGCAGTATTCTACATTTACTCTTTCAACAAATTAGTAATAAAAACACCAGTTCCTCGGATGCCAATGTCAAATTCAAAGTCCTAAATAATGGAGCAATTCGTAGAATTCTATCAGTAACAATAGGTTGAGATAGTATATATTAAGGATGAAGTGATTTTAGTAAAACAGCAATACTATGTTCCTAACATGGCTTAGGCCTTCACGTTTATTGCACTCAATACGTCTTGTCGTGGTTATGTATTTTCTAGTTGCATGTCTTCAAATATTGGTGTTAAGAGACGACGATAAGCGTTTCTCAACTAAAACCAATAATAATAAAAAAACTCGGATTGGTAAGTTTATTCGTATAACCAATATTTTTTAATGTTTTAAGAATCCTTGTTAAAATACGTTATGCTTATCCGTAAAGTAAATGAGTTTTTATTTCTTTGTGTGATAGTTTCTGGAGTTAAACGGAGGTCTCTTGGGTCAATCTTTCACGAAATGTCAGTTAGTACTTAGCAATAAGAAATATGGAAAAGTAAAAACTTTCTTCAAGGTTGAAACATTAGATCTTAAAAATCAGTTGGCTTTGATAACGTTTTCCATTCAAAAATTACAGCCGTCCTTGCCATAACATAACAGTTAGACTTCATTACTTTTTACATCCCAACCTTTCTGCAATTCACCATTTTTTAGTACATTACTAATCAAAGATTCAGACTTACGGTGTACGTCCCACCTTTTTCATGCTTTTAGTCAATGATTCAAAAATGGAATTTCTTCGTTTTGTATTTCTAAAAATTATGTAAAATTATTCTCATAACGTAATCTAGTGGTGATGACGAAAACAAGAGGGTTTGTTTGTTTTGAATTTCGCGCAAAGCTACACGAGGGCTATCTGCGCTAGCCGCCCCTAATTTAGCAGTAAAATACTAGAGGGAAGGCAGCTGGTCATCACCACCCACCGCCAACTCTTGAGCTACTCTTTTACCAACGAATAGTTGGATTGACCGTCATATTATAACGCCCCTACGACTGAAAGGACAAGCATGTTTGGTGGGACGGGGATTCGAACCTGTGACCCTCAGATTACGAGTCGAGCTCCCTAACTACCTGGCCGAAAGTGCGATAAAACTTTGAGTTGTATTTATCCGAATCCATGTCAAGGCTCTAATATTATTTATCCCAAAGGACTTCCCAATAAATCCACGTTTTTTGTTTGAAATATTTAGAGTTGGAATAAGAAGTGAAAACGGAATTAGGAAAGAGCAGATTTAATAGTAACTATTTGGTTGAACAGTAAAGAGCCCAAAAGTAAATATGTAATACATTATTTTCTTTCATATCTGAGAAGAAATTAATGAAATTTGATAGAGAATCAGTTTGTTAATTAGGTATAAGAATAGACACAATATATTGTTGTTTAGATATAATAGTAGACCTAATCTACTAATGTTAAGATTTAATAGTAGACCTAATCTACTGTTGTTTAGATATAATAGTAGACCTAATCCACTGTTGTTTAGATATAACAGTAGACCTAATCTACTGTTGTTTAGATATAATAGTAGACACAATATACTGTTGTTTAGATATAATAGTAGACCTAATCTACTGTTGTTTAGATATAATAGTAGACCTAATATACTGTTGTTTAGATATAATAGTAGACCTAATCTACTGTTGTTTAGATATAATAGTAGACCTAATCTACTGTTGTTTAGATATAATAGTAGACACAATATACTGTTGTTTAGATATAATAGTAGACCTAATCCACTGTTGTTTAGATATAATAGTAGACCTAATCTCTTTTGTTTAGATATAATAGTAGACCTAATCTACTATTGTTTAGATATAATAGTAGACCTAATCTACTATTGTTTAGATATAATAGTAGATCTAATACACTGTTGCTCCAAAGAAAGAAACGATTTAGCTTAGAACAAAGATTTTAATGAAATACAAATGTAGAATTACCTTTAATATTTGGTTAAAAGTACAGTTTAAAAGCAACGATTCTACATTCTATTAACACCACCTTTGGGTCTGAACAAAAATGGTCTTACTGGTGATAGACCACTTCATCAATTAACTGTAAAATATTTGAATATTGAATTGTAACGTAATGTGTGATATTTCTTTGCATATTGTACATCCAAACTATGAATAATTATTCATTTATTGACTATATTCTATTTTATTGTCTTTATTTTCATCATTCAGAGTATTTTACAAATTTTAGCCATAGAATGTGTGTGCATATATATTTTATTTCGTCAAGTTGGTAATTTTGGATTGTTAATACATAGTGTATCTGTTACGGTAAAATTATCAGAGAGTATGTGATAACATCGTCCTTTCAAGTGGCTTCTTTTGTGGCCGCTTCCTATTCAATTTATAACCAATATAAAGCCTAGATATCAATTTAGTGATTGCAATATGATTCATGCCACGTGATGTTAGAGATAATTGAGAATTTAGTTGGTGAGAAAAAAAAATTCTCACGAGAGCATAGTGGGCAGCTAAGTGGGATCTCAAACTTCACAAGTCACATGATTAGAGAGCCAGAAAATTTATGACAGATACCCAATTTTTTTCAGCTGTTGATATCATATTATTCTGTGTCCTCCCGTGCAATAAAAACTAAAAGAAAAAAATATTTTGTGGGCTAGTAGCATTGGTGAAAGTATTAGGCCTAACATAAAAGGACAGTCGACGACACAAAAGATATTTATTTATTATTATAAAATTAACTAAAAATAAGAAAATTTTAGGCTATATAAGGTTAAATTATGTAATATAAATAAAAACAATGATAATAATAATAATATTTCTTTACGAGGTACACTCGCTAGGACTAACAGCTCGCGAGTAGCACTAGCTTTATGTAACTTGATTAGTGTAACATTTGCTTCATGTACTGCGTATTTTGAAACTTTTTATGGCAGGAATTTTAAAAAATCACGATCCAAAAGGCAATAAAATTTAATTAGAAACACCATCATAGTAATTTAAAAGTGACATGCGCTGAGTGTTGTCAAATACTGAATGCGATTGCATTCAACAACGACCACACCTGTTAATGTTTCTCGTACAAAAAATATAAAAAACAGACAGCGGGCAGTCGCAACGTGCAAAGTCAACAATGGCCTCGAGACTAATTTCAGTGGTCGTAGTATGGAATAGAAGAGTGGTCGGCCTGGGGAAATATTT